GTTGAATTGTGGAAATTGACTTTTTAGCATGACATAGTCTTCCCAGGTGGCTTCCTCTACTGTCCTCCCCTTCCAATGGATAAGCAATTGTTTCACCTCTTCACCTTGCTTCTGTACCTTCCTCACAGCCAGTACAGTTTCCGGTTCAAACACCTCTCCCTGCTCTCCTGCCATAAGGTCTGGCAGCTCTTCATTCTCATGGTACTGTCCCACAGCTTTTTTCAACAATGATACGTGAAACACCGGATGAACTCTAGAACTTGTTGGCAGTTTCAATTTGTAGGCGACAGCTCCAATTCTCTCTGTAATAGGGTAAGGTCCATAGTATCTAGCAGCGAGTTTAGCATTAATTCGGGTTACCACAGAATTTTGCCTGTGTGCTCTCAACTTAACGAAGACCCACTCTCCTACTTCGAAACTCCTATCGCTTCTCTTCTTATCAGCCTGAGCCTTCATCCTATCTTGTGCTCGGTGTAAATGACTTCTCAACTGTCTGATTGCCTCATCCCTTTCTACTAAATCTCTCTGTACTGCCTCAACCCTTGTCTCTCCTTGAACCCATCTACCCATCACAGGAGGAAGTCTACCATAGACTAGTTCAAAAGGGGTGTGCTCTGTAGTAGTATGAAATGAAGTATTGAACCAATATTCAGCCCAATGTAACCATGACATCCAATTCTTGGGCTGATCAGAGATGAAGCATCTAAGGTACGTCTCTAAACACCGGTTAACTACTTCTGTCTGGCCATCGGACTCTGGGTGATAGGCCGAGCTCATCTTGAGTTGAGTTCCCTGGGCCTTAAACAATTCCCTCCAAAAATTGCTCATGAAGACGGGATCTCTATCACTCACTATAGACGTAGGTATCCCATGCAACCGGACTACTTCTTTGCTAAAAATCTCAGCCAAACTTCTAGCCGTATATGGATGCTTAAGAGGAATAAAGTGACAATATTTAGACAACCTGTCCACAACTACAAAAATAGCTTCATACCCTTTGGATTTTGGCAGGCCGGTGATGAAATCCATAGAAATATCTTCCCAAATGCGTTCCGGTATGGGTAGGGGTTGCAACAAACCTCCCGGAGAAGAAGCTAAATATTTTTGTCTTTGGCAAACATCACAGCTTCTTACAAATTCCTGCACTACTCCCTTCATTCCCACCCAATATACATTTGCTGCCAGCCTTCTATATGTCTTGTAGAACCCCGAATGCCCTCCTTGTGGGGTGCTATGGAACTCTTTCAGTAACATAGGAATCATGGTTGAATGTCTTGAAAGGACTAGTCTACCATCATACATTAAGACTCCATGTTTGTAGGTATATCCAGGTTTGGAAACCGGATCTTGTGACAGTTCAGCTATTATTTTCTGCAATTCCTCGTCATTCTGCACCTCCTCCTTCATTAATTGTGTCTGATCCCACCGCAGAAAAGACGTGATACTCCTCAACTCCATTCCCTCATGCATTCTAGACAAGGCATCAGCTCCTCTATTTAGTTTGCCTTGCTTATAGACAACCTCAAAATCATAACCAAGTAGCTTTGCAGCCCAGTTTTGCTGTTCTGCAGTAGATATTCTCTGCTGCAACAGTTGCTTCAGGCTCTTTTGGTCGGTAGAGACAATGAATTTCCTGCCAAGGAGGTAGGGTCTCCAGTGCTGTATAGCCAACCCCAATGCCATAAGTTCTTTCTCATATGCAGACTTAGACAGATTTCTTACTCCCAACGCCTTACTAAAGTAAGCTATCGGTCGTTTATCCTGCATTAGAATTGCCCCTATACCACTACCGGAAGCATCACATTCAATTATGAATGGTTTACAAAAATCAGGTAGAGCCAGGACAGGTGCTGTAGTGAGCTTCACCTTCAACTCTTCAAAAGCTCTCTGAGTTTCATTTCCCCATTTAAACCCATCTTTCTTTGTCAACTCTGTTAACGGCTTAGCTATCCTGCCATAGTGTTTGATAAATTTCCGGTAATATCCAGTCAGTCCTAAGAAGCCTCTAACTCCCTTCACATTCTTAGGTGTAGGCCATTGGGTCACACTGACTATCTTATTAGGATCCACAGCTACTCCCTCTTGGGATATGACATGCCCCAAATAGTCAATGGATTTCTGAACAAAGAGACACTTCTTCTTGTTGGCTACTAACCCATTGTCATCTAGCACTTGTAACACCATTTGCAAGTGCTGCAAATGGGACTCCCAATCAGTGCTGTATACTAAGATGTCGTCGAAGAAAACCAACACATATTTTCTAAGCATGGGTTTAAACACTTCATTCATGAGGCTTTGGAATGTGGAAGGTGCATTCATAAGGCCAAATGGCATGACGAGGAATTCATAGTGTCCCTCATGAGTACGAAATGCTGTCTTGTATACATCTTCTTCCTTGACCCTTACTTGATGATAACCAGATTTTAAATCCAATTTAGAAAAAAATCTAGCACCATGCAACTCATCTAACAACTCTTCTATAACAGGTATTGGAAATTTATCAGGAATGGTTACCCTGTTTAGTGCTCTATAATCTATGCACATACGCCACGAACTGTCCTTCTTCTTCACCAATATTACCGGACTAGAGAAAGAGCTTGTGCTGTTCCTGATTATTCCGGTAGCCAACATCTCTTTGATTTGCTTCTCAATTTCATCTTTATGATGGTGAGGATATCTATAGGGCCTTACATTCACCGGATTTGTCCCTTCCACTAAATTAATATCATGTTCCTTGCCTCTGATTGGAGGTAGTCCCTTAGGCTCTACGAACACCGACGCAAAATCGTGTAATAACTGACCCAGCCTCTCCTTCTGCAGTTGGGACAAATGGTCCTCTGGTGCTCCACTCCCCTGTTTCTCTATACTCCCTAACTTCCTTTCTCTCCACTGCTTGGGCTTTTCTAATATACTCTGCAGAGCCACCATGGACTCATCGCTGCTCCCTAAGCCTTGTAATGTAACCCACTCCTTATTACTCCAAAAGCTCATGAGTTGTTTCTTCCAATTCATAATCATATCTCCAAGTGTGTTCAGCCACTCTATTCCCAACACAACATCAATTCCCCCTAATTCAAACAGATGCATATCTGCTTGAATTCCAAAATTCCTGATCTTCAATTGCACCTCTCTGCAAACTCCTTGAGTCATGGTTTGAAAACCATCACCCAACTTGATTCTCATCTGTGATGTCTTCTCCATGGGCCAATCCATCTTGCTTACCAACTTCTGAGAAATGAAGTTATGCGTCGCCCCGCTATCTACCAACACAAGCACCGGAACTCCTTTGATCTCTCCTTGGAAACGTATAACTTGGGGAGTGTGATTAGTCATCTGATCCAAATGCATCAGGCTCATCTCTCCCTCCTCTTCGTCGTCCGCCTCATTCACTTCGATTGCCAGAACTTGGCCCTCTATCTCCTCCGTATCACTGTCATCGACAAGAAGGATCCGAAGGTGTTTATCGGGGCATTGATGTGTAGGAGAGAAAGGCCCCTTACATTTGAAGCAAAGCCCCTTCTGTTTTCTATCCATCAATTCCTGATAGGATAAATGTTGAAACCCACGTTCACGAGGCCCATTCCTCCTCTTATCTCCATGGGCTACTCTTTCATCTCTAGGCCCAATAGGATTGCTTTTAGAACCCCCATTCACTCCACCTTCTCTATTTTTTATTAAAACCCAATCTGAATTTCTTCGACCCGCTCCATGAGTTCCGGGTCGGTGTGACCCGCTTCCAAACCTGGTCCCTCTCCTACTAGACGACCCATTTTCTCCATCGACCTCTTTCTCTACCGCACGCGTCACCTGTAACAACCTTGTACGACTCATTTCCCCCATGGCTACGAAGCTGCGAACTCGTCCTCTAATCTCCGCCTTCAACCCATGAAGAAAATATCCCAAAAATTGCTTGTCGGGCAATTTCGGAATCTGAGCCATGAGATATTCAAATTCGGTGATATATTCTTCCACCGTTCCACTCTGTTTAAGCCCTGTTAATTGTTCATACACGTCACCGTCGCCGTAACCACCATATCTGGCCAACAGTGATTCCTTCAACTTCTCCCACGACAAGTCTTCATCTTCGCCGACCAGAGAATTGAAGAAATGAATTGTAGCTCCCTCCATACATAACTGAGCTAGATTCACTTTCAACTCCGGTAGCGTCCCCTGAACACGGAAATACATTTCAGCTCGTGAAATCCACCCCGCAGGATCTTCGCCGTTGAAGGACGGTAGCTCTACCTTTTTGATGGATTGACGAAACTCTGTCAATGCATCACGACTGAGGTTGTAAAGCCCCGATCCGGAGGAATTCCCCTTCCCATTTGCACTACCTTCTCCTTCCAGCACCGTCTTCCCTAGACACCGTTCAAACATGGCCATGAGACTCTCATGGCTAGTCTTCACCGCATTCTGAACGTCTATCAACGTCGACTTCACCTCCGACATCTCTCCTTCTAACGCCGCTACCTTCGCATCCATCTTAACCTTTTTCGGGGGCATTCACTGGTTTCGGGAATGACAATCCGGCAGGTCGGACCAGTTTGTTACGAACTAACAGAATAGTAAATCAATATAGCAGTAAAAGAAACAGTTATGGAAATATGGGAAGAGCTTTATTGATTAGTATGGAAACAAGTACAGAGAGCAGAATGAATCAATCCCACAATGGGCCCAGAGCTATGCTCCTATAGGATCCTAGAGTATCCTATCCATTCCTTCTAGATCTATCTACAATCTCGATGATTATTCCCTCTACTGACTGCTCCTTATATTGTGGAAACGTACTGCCCCCTCCTTCATGCCACCTCATGATTGGTAACTAACTCATCCTCTAATTCCCCTTTTTACCCCTTCTAGAATATACTTTCCAAACTCTGGGACCACTAGAGGTGTGGTGAATTAATTGTTCTGGTAACTGTAAATTATTGTCATTGTTTCTATCACCTCGCCTGATTCTCGTAACTTTGCTCGAGAACAATCCAGAATGTTTTGCTTCATGGAGAAGTTTCAGGGAGGCCTGGTCTTGCGGAGAAAAAATAGGGCCAACTCGTTTTCGTGCTCTGACGTGGGAGAGAAACAAGATACCTGGGCTTGCCTTTAGGAGCTTGTGGCGGTGGCCACAGAAAGCGTGGCGGGATCCACGACTTTAAGTTGCGAGGCGAGGGCCACATGACAGCCTTCGGTGTGCAGATTTTCTTCAACTCTTCTGTTATTTTCTGTTTCCTTGCGTTTTCTTTGCCAATTTCTCTTCTTTTCTCATGCAAATTTTGTAGATGAAAATACCTGAAATACAATAACACTACCAGCATAAAATGACATAAATAACTAAAAACGGTAAAATAATTTATGCGAGTCGAGTCGAATATGCAATGCAATTTCGCGTTATCAATAAGACAAACCACGTTAGACATTTTCAACTGTAACACAACATTTCTTAGGATCAGACACTATGTCAACATAGATTCAACTAAACAGTGACTCAAACTCTAATAGAAACCACAAAATCATAATGATGCTGCATTACCATTCAAAGGATCTTCTGACACATATGGATAAAGCAAGAGCTGTGGAAGAAAAAGTTCGAAGATATTTGAAGATCTGAAACAACGGAAACCTCTCAAATAAAACATCTTTAGTCAGAATTCTTATATGAAGTTTCTCCTTTTGGGTTCATAGTCTTTAGGAGAATTAGATGCATCACATGATAGCTATCAGTTTGAATTGGTGAGCATATTCACTACTAAATAGGACATTTGTAGAGATGTCTGCAAAATTTTGAAAATTTCAACATCTTCTGATTTATGGAGGAAAGAATTTGGAATTGAAAAAAATGCAGGGTTCTTTGTTTACTTTTTCTGTGAGATCAGGCATTATTAATTCTGAATCTAACACAATGTACCATAAGTCTCATCATATATAGCCTGCTTATGCCAAGATATGAGACCAACCAACTTCAATGATTTCATAAATCCCTTGTACCTAATGTATATAGTTAAAAAGTATATAGTGAGCACCTTAAAAAATTGCGTATTACAATCAAAAACAAATTGTAATATGACTATGTTGATTACATTTTATATCCAAACATTGTCACAACATCTTCAATTTACATGTCCCCGTTTTCACTTAGCAAGCACAACCAAGTAGTATGAAACAACACAACACTAGTTCAAGAAAACTGAATATCAACTTACAGTCCAAACAGTGGAAGGGTTTGTCTATTCTCCTTGGAATTCAAATTTAATAAAGAAATCAACTACAAACTCAGAAAGAATTTGTTATCGGAAGGAAACTACAAAAATAAGAAAAACCTATGAACCTATAGCAGAGAATGGAGTGAAATTCCAACCAAAGAAAACAAACCTCCTTTGTTATGAATTAAAATCCAATTACTTAGCTATACATATATGTACTACTGCACACACACATTTATATACCTGCAACTATTGCAGAACTCAGCTCTTATTAAAAAGGAGAGTTGAAAATATTATGAAGACGCTGATCCATGATTTGAGAAACAGCATCCAGCAACGTAGTTTCACTTGTGCCCGGAAGAACAGAATCCAGTGCTTCTTCAACTATTTCCTCTATCACAGATTCTTTGTTCAATGATTCCCTGCACATCAAGTTTCCAATTGCAAAAGGTGTCAATCCTCTCTCAACCCCTTTCTTCAAAAGCATTGTCGAGATTCTAAGAGTGCGGGCACATTCAATTGGCAGATCCCATCCATGAAACTTCAAAAGTGCAATATCTTCTTCAGCATCCAATGACTTTATGTACTCAATAGTTTCTGCAGAATATGGTTTCCGGGCTTGGGGCCAGTAAAGCCATTCGAAGGTACAATCTTCGAACTGTCAGAATAGCAAAACTGTTAAATGATTGGTTTAAACAAAGTACCCGGGACAATATATATCTACTTGCATGTGTTAAGAACACAACAAAGAGAGCATAAAATGATATACTTACACTTGTGGGCAAGCAGTATCCATGATCAATTGGAATCAGAACAGGCTGGTCATTGTGCTCCTCTGCGCTGACCAAAATATTCCCAGCATGTCTATCTGCATTTGCCAATCTCATGTCCAATACAGTAATTTTGTGTACTTCATTTACTGGGAAAGCCCCAGGACCGATATCTTCGCAGCTCCCGTTATTTTTCACAAACATCTGCATTGATCCAATCTTAGCAATCATGTCTCCTGGATGGTTAAATCCTTTATGCAAGCATTTTACCATCAAAGTTGGAGGTACGCCAGCAAAACCCTTCACTTCACCAAATAAATTGCGGCGTCCACTTATTGGATGATCCAAAACATAAGCCGCAACTTCTCTGAACGCTCCCTGGCCGACTCTTGTACCCTTTTTCAAACCTTCGCCATTTAATGATAATGGAAGACCTCGAGGGTTATTCACAGCCATCGGCTCTTCATCAATAGGTTTAAAAACAGACACATACTTCTGACCAGTTGAATCAAGCATAAAGTAAGCTCCCCCGGTACCTTCTGCAGATCCTATTGGATGGCTTTCACTAGCTAGTCCATCGTATGCAGTGTTTACCATATTCTGCATCACTGAAGCTAACTCAATTTTAGGGTTGATTATAATTGGCTCCAAAAGAAAATCTCTATCAGGAAGCTTTCTTGGCACAACTCCTTGAATGGAAAGACTATCTTCTCCACCAGCAACATCAAATTTTCTATCACTAGAATTTCCGCAAACAACTTTAGTTTTCTTATGAGCCAAGTCTGTTGCTACAATGGACAACTCAAGGGGCCTTCTATGAACTTTTGCGTGCTTCTTCCTAACAAACAGATGCACCACTGCATCATTATGCTTACAGCAGATATCATCAATAATCTTCTGATCCTCAAGCCGCTCCCCATTACACACAAGCTCCTGGTCCTCAGGATCATCAAATTGTTTCTCCTTTTTAGCAATCCTCCGCTTGATGTACTTGACATCCCTACCTCGTTCAACCTGAAAAGTAAACTCCTTCCCAGAAGATGTTTTCACATTGATAAGCTGAAGATCCGAAAGCTTGATTATCAAATGCAAAACATTTCCATCGGTAACACCATAGTCCTTAAGCAACGTATCACTCCGAGCAAGCTCACGACCAGCATAAACCAACTTCTGTTTGTTTGTTAAAAACGGAAGACTCTCACTCCTCTGAATTTTGAATTTCACAGACTCAATAGTATCCCACTCCATAACACGAATAGGCGTCAACGAACCCGAAAATGATAGAAATATGAAAATGGAGTTTTCCTCCAAAGACGACGGAAAATGAGATGACACATTTGGAGACAACAATGATTCAGTAGGATCCACTGGACTAAGAGTAGTAACACCAGCAGATGACATTTTCACTGAGAACTTTTATCAAACACCACAATTGCAAAAAAAAAAAAACTTAACCTTTCTTTATACACTAAGAAACAAATCCCCTAAAACAACAAACCATACAAGTTTCACAAGATAACCATCATAGCTCAACCAATATTATACTTCAACAAATTGGTACCTAGGTCAACAATTGGTAATAATGATCAATTGATCATCATACTCATACCTAGCTTAGGTCAAGAATTGAACAACAAACAAACACAGATCTTTTGAAGAAAATGATCAAAGAGACCAATTCCAACCAAAGATGAAACGAAAAACAAGTCTGAATCAATCAAAAGAACAAATTCATACCCTTTATTTAACAAGGTGGTTAAACGACGTCGTAGATCGCAAGTTGGAAGCTTTATGAACAAGAAGAGAAAAAGGAAAGTTTAGGGTTAGTGAATTGAAATTTGAAGGAAGAAGAAAAGAAGGTTGATGATGGATGATATTAATAATTCGGAAAAATTCATGTTATTATTGACTCAGACTCAGACAATAACATCATCGTATATTTGTACAAACGCGTGTACATAATTGAATTATAGAAGAAGTGTGTGTTTTTCTAGTTACTATGAGAATGTATATATATACTGTATACGTATACACGTATACGTGTAGAAGGTATAATACAGTGGATAGAGACACAGTTATTTTGGTTTAATGACATTTATAACCTTTTCTTTGTAAGAAAGAAAAAGAAAGAGGAAGGTTCGTTCGTGTGTAGTAACGTTATGGGGAGTTAGAGAAACATAAGTGTTGGCAGTACCAACCAATAAGGGACACGTAAATAAAAGTGGGATTTATTATGCGAAAATGGTGTCGACTTAGAATGACGTGGATGGATATGACTTGGAATTTAGTTTCATGTACCTTGCCCATGAGGAACAAGGAAGGACTAGAGAGTCGTGAAATTCAATGACATCTAAAATGCTAATTTAAGTTGTATCATAAAATTTAATTATCACCAATATATTAATTAATATGATTTAATTATTAATTTTATGTTGATTTATTTTTAAATTAATTACTTTTGGCCTTTTAGTCAAATTATTTGACTTCAATGTAATTTTGTGAAATTATAAAAATAAATAATTTATGAAACTGAAACTAAAGTTTTTATAAGATTTTTTTGCAATTTATTTGATAATGATCATTCAATATTATAAGATTTTATATTATATTATTTAATATATATATATATATATATATATATATATATATATATATATATATATATATATATATATATATATATATATATATATATATATATATATATATATATATATATATATATATATATATATTATTGTCAATGATATTAAACTTTTTAAAATATATTATATTTTTATTTAAAAAAATTTAAAATCAAACAATTTTTTAAAATATATCACTTTTATTAAAATTTAAAGTTCAAGTAAAAAATATTTTACATTATCAATTTCTTAAATATATTATAAATTAATGAGAATTATTTTTATACTATGTGATGGAAAAAGAATTTATAGATGTGAATATCTGTATATTATTTGTCACCGGTACTAGGGGTGTTCGCGGTTCGGTTTAGATCGGTTTTAAGATAAAAAATCATCCGATCTAAAGATAAATTTACTTGCGGTTCATTTCGGTTTTGGATGATATATTAAAAAAATTCAATCCGATCCGATCCAATTTTATGCAATTTAATTTGGATCAGTTTTTGAATATACAAATTACACATTATATTTTTATTAATATTATAAAACTACAAATAAATCATAGATTTGATATAATATATAACATATAGTATATTAAAAGTTAATATTACAAAATGAGAGTGGTTGATTATGATTGAAATAATAAAAATAAATAAATTATACCAAGCTAATAACTATTATTAAAAAAATTATTATCATTTAATAATAATTTCACATAGCATATCATACTAATAAAAAGTAAATAAGTATAAAAATATATGTATGCGGTTTGGTTTGGTTTGGATCGGTTTTGAAAAATTAATCCGAAATTCGATCCGTAATCGGTTTTCACAAAATAACATCCAAACACATCTAATAAATTTCGGTTTTTTGCGATTTTCGGTTTTTTATTTGGATTTGAACACCCTAACCGGTACGGATGCAATAATTAATTAATTAGATATTCACAATTAAAATTAATAAATATTTAGTTATTCATCACTAAACAACTATAGATATCTATTAATAATTATTAAAATTAATTAAATATTAATTTATTTAATACAAAATTATTATTATTATTCTATTAAGTATGAAACTATTTTATTTTATTGAATATACTATAATTATTTGATTAAAAAATAAAATGAATGTAATTATTATTATTATTATTATTATTTATTACATTTGAAACAATGTTTTATGCCTTTAAAAGAAAATAAAAACAATTAGTTAATTATAATTTTAAAAAATAATATCTATGAATATCACTCGCGCGAGTATGGAACGAATACAAATATTATATTTATTAAATGCGATATTTAACGTAAGACAAGTATTCATGGTCATGGGTATCTATTTTATTTCTATCATATGTTTGTGATTAAAATAAAATTAAATATTTTAAAATGTTAAATATACTTAATTAATAATATAAAATATTTTATATTATTCATAGATATATTCATGTTTATAAATAAATTATTTCATTTTATATAAATACAAAGCTGTTCAATTAAATGATATAATTCATTATATTCTTGTTCAATTTAATATAATTCAATTTACGATCAAATAAAATATCACATTATACACTAAAATATATTTTAAAAAAAATGCACATTTATAAAAATACATATAATTTATGGTTAAAAAATTTGACTTGACATATATTTCTATTTTTTTTAAATGATGGTAATAATTATTAAAAATTTACAGATTCAACACTTGAGTTTGAATCTCAGTGATCACGTACAACTTAAAAATATTTGTTAATTGAAATATACCTCAATTATATCATGCTTCTAATACATTTAAATCTTCTAAAACAAATATTTAATTATATTTTACAATAATATAATACAAAAATATAAGAGAATAAAGAAGGTCAAATATAAGTTTAAAGTATTTTTAACTGGTATATTTTATAAAGAAAAATATGAATCATTGGACGCGCTCTTTTTTCGCAAAATTAATGAATATGAAATTTTTTCAACATATATATTTTCAACCAACCTAAATATAGTCTTTCTTAACATTTGAATAGTATGAAAAACAAAAGTAAAGTTTTTATTTTAAAAATAACCACAAATTACCTAATATTTATTACTCATATTTATTTTTATATATTTTATAATTATCGTTGTTATCTGTTTAATTTTTTTAAACATATATCTTATAAATTTTTGCAGAAATTTGTTAACATTTAGTATTCTATAAATTTGTTAATTTATATAAATGTTCATATAATTATTTTGTTTTTTTCACTAAAATATGATCTTGTTAACATTTAGTATTCTATAAATTTGTTAATTTATATAAATGTTGATATAATTATTTTGTTTTTTTCACTAAAATATAATCTTAGTATTTATATTGAATTTGTGTAATTATAATTATTAGATGAACTTTTGACCAATTCACGTTGGGTTTTGGTAAACCTTAATTAAACTTCTAAAAAAACATAATAAAAATTCTAGCATGACAGTTTCTGTATTGCATAATCAAAAACGCATGCATTAAAATAACAGTAATTGGATAAAAAGTGAATGTAGACTCTTTTTTATTCAAACTGAATTTAGACTTGAATAAAAATTGAATATAGACTTGAGTGAAAAAAATGAATATAGACTTGAAGACGTATACTTTGTTTACTCATAGGTGCAATCAACTATCAACCTATTAAAAATCAATAATATAAATTTCTTAAATTATCATTTTATTATAAATTATGTACACTAAAAAATATATTGAATAATTAAATAATATTTATATTTTTTATTCTCATCGTCTAAACCCTAAACCCTATTATCTCGATGTGTCCATTTTTATCAATCTATTATATTTAACTCTTTTCAAGATTGAGATGTGGTATTCATAGACTCATTCTCTCTCTTGTTTAAAATTTCAAATTTTTTCATATTTTTTCCCCGCATTTTCTCACTTTTATTTTAATTTTTTTCTCCTTATTATTATTAATTGACACTAAAAATACTAATAATATATTTTTAAATTTTAATATAATTTATAATTTATTTTATCTCACGATTCACTATCAACACAATATCTATTTTATTTTAATCAATTATTATCTTAATTTGATAGACAAAATCTTTATTTTTAAATATTAATTTCTTTTCTTTCTCCATTTCACGGTTCCTTTTTTTTAATGATTATTTAATACAATTAAATTTTTATGATTATTGTTTATTTTACAATTAAGTAAATCATTTTAAATTTTACATGTGTATCTAAATATATTTTATATCGTATCAAATAATTTTTTTATCTCATGGGATCAACATAATGTCTATTTTATTTTAATTAATAATTTGATTTACTTCAAAATATCAACAAAAAAAAATCATTTCATCTCTCAAGTCATTTCTTTTCTTTTTGCATGATTATTTAATACAATTGAGTTTATATAATTATTTTTTATTTTATAATTAAGTAATTCATTTCAAATTTACATCTATATATAAATACATTTTATATTGTATCAAATAAGTTTTCTATTTCACGGGTCACTATCAACATAATACATATTTTATTTTAATTAACAGTTACCTTAATTTAAAAGTTAAAATCCTTATTTTCAAATATTAAATATTTATTTTTTTCTCTCACGGTCCTTTTTTTTTCTCTCTCTTTATGTTTTAATACAATTGCGTTTATATAGTCATTGTTCATTTTAAAATTAATAGTTAATTTCAAATTTATATACATATCTAAATATATTTTATACTGTATCAAATAAATTTACTTGTACAATCGCACGAGTATCTGACTAGTACA